TAGTGCTTTTGAAAAGCACAGGATCTGGAATAAGAACCTAATTTGGTGGGAAGAAAAGGTATCAGGAAGAAACAAATGTAGCGACAGGATTGTGTTAAATTATCCTCAGTATTAAATAGGAAGGTAGTGTATCGCTCAGAAACCACTGGTAGTCAGTAGATGGGACAGAGGCTCATTTATTTCACTGCTTTAGTCCAAAATGCACCGCACTGCAGTGTGTGAACTTTTGAGTAACTCAACCAATTCTGTCTTCCAGTTGTTTTTAAAGAAATCCTATTGCGTTCCCATCCAGAGAGAATATTAGCAATTAGCTAATTATGTTTCTAGATTATAACATTTTGTTACATATCAGCATTCTATTAGGTAAGGTCATCAGTAATGTTCAGTTAGTCTCTAAGTGACCTGAGCTGTTGGCAGGGCACTCTTTCTTTCAAGAAGTTGGCGTCACTGTCTAGGACAACATTAAGGTCATTAATCTTGTTTGTGCTGATGTCTTCCTTGGAAAATTAGTGGACAGCTTAATTTTATGCTTCCTGTTTGAATTCTTCAGGATTTGAGACTCTCAAATGCAGTCTTCCTTCAGGCAGCTAGGAGAGGCACCGATCTCCCTTCCCTACTCACCTGCTCTGCAAGACTCAGGAAGGTAATGAAGGGGAAAGGTGCAAAGATTTGGAAAGAAAGGAACAAGAACAGAGCCACTAATGCTGAGAAAGGCATCTCTGGAAGAAAATGTGGGAATTGTGGGAAGGGAGAGAAGTGCTGAGGTGGAAATAATGCATTAGGAACTGAACAGGATAGGACTCATGAGGAGGAAAAACTTTGATAATGGGTGTATCAGTTCTGGAATGTTAGATCAACTTATAGCTATTACATCCTCTTCTTAGCTTGCTCTCTTACATATTTTTCTTGTAGAAATAGGTGCAATTTTATCAAAAAGCAGATACATGCCTGAGTTTACCAGCACTGTCATGGCTTTCAGGGAATAAAGAGTAGAAATAAAAATAATTTAAATTGAAATATCCTCATGCTAGTTGATGATATTTTAGTCAAAGTAAATTCTTCTTTCAGTGTTGGTTTTCTCAGGAATTCAGGTCAATTCCTGCTCACCACACTCATACTAAAAATCTTAGTGATTTTTAATGAACGGTCTTCTGAAGAAAGTGAGTAAGGTTTGGTCCTTCCATTACATTTTCTGCTGTATTAATTTATCATAAATTTAATATCTCAAATCAATTACATTGTGCACCCTTGCAGTATCAGATGTCATGGTCAAAACTGGATAAAGCAGCAAGAAAATGAGTCAGCATGATTTTTTCCCAAAGGAAGAGAATGGAAAAATACTTGTAACAATATGAAGGTGGGGAAGAAAAAGTGCAAATCTCTGTTTTGGAAAGGGGTGTGCTCTGTGGGATGTTAAAGACTGGTAATATTTTAGAAATCATCTAGTAGAAAGCCATCTTTATAGGTACAGTAAGTCTGGGATGTAAACGGAAAGATAGCTCAGAAGTGTATTTTAAGGTAGAGGTCTGCACAACTGTGTACACACTTTTATAAATGTCCCTTTCATATTCTCAAGCACTTGATATGCTTACATAATGCAAGTATTTCTGTGTGGACTTGGCACACTGCAACCAGAACTGGCAGTGTCTCTGTGACAGTCTGATACAAATGTTGACAGTGGCTTTTTTTTTCATGAAATGAAACTGTGTGAGGAACTCCAGGGTGCGTGTCAATGTACATCTGTGTGAACCTGGCTTTGAAAGTGGTTGTGCTCTGTTGTTCAGACTGGTGTTGCAGAGTCCTGAATCTAAGGAGAAATACACCCTACACCAGTACAGGCTGTGGGCAAACCACCTGGAAAGCAGCTTGGAAGAAAAGGACCTGAGGGGGTTCTGGTGAAAACCAAGTTGAACATGAGCCAGCACTGTGCCCGCTGTGGCAAAGAGGGCCAGCAGTCTCCTATGCTGCATTAGGAAGTATTGCCATCAGGTTGAGGGAGTTGATCCTCCCCTTCTACTCAATGCTGTTGAGGCCGTATCTGGAGTACTGTGTCCAGTTCTGGGCTCCGTAGTAGAAAAGTGAAAGGGACATACTGGAGCAGTTCTAGTCAATGGCCATGAAGGTGATTAAGAACATGCAGGATCTGACATCCAAGGAGAGGCTGACAGACCTGGGATTGTTTAGCTTGGAAAAGAGAAGGCTTGGAAGGGCATTTTATCAATGTGTATTAAAAATATCTGATGGGATAGTGTAAAGAAGACCACAGACTCTTCTCTGTAGTATCCGGTGCTAGGACAGCAGGCAGCAGGCAAAAGCTGAAATACAAGAAAATTTTACTTAAACATTTTTAAAACCTCTCTTTTACTGCGAGGTTTGTAGGATACTGGAATGGGTGCCCCGAGAGGTTGTAGAGTCTCCATCCTTGGAGACACTCAGAACTCAACTGCACATGGTCCTTAGTAAGGTGTACTACCTGAGGCTGCTTTGAGCAGGAGGGTTGGACTAGCTTAGTTCTAGATGTCCGTTCTGGCCTGTGACAAAAGTAATTATAAATCTGTGAAAATTCTAAGATAAAGTTTCCTTATTTGACATTGAGGTGCCTCTGTTACTTTTATAAAACAGTTGTTAATATAACTTCCCCTGAATTCATGAAAAGTTAAAGAAGTGGACCTAAAAAATCATCACATCTTGATTGCATTCCTATCTTTATTGCAGTGCACAAAAATCTTACCATAGTGATGTTTTACATATGTAGTTTTAGGTAATTTCTACTTTGTTTTCCTTTTAAATCTGTAGTAGGTGTCTGATGTTTTCAATAAGCAATAGAGGGTAGGTTCTCAGACCTAATTAATAGTACATGAGTTCCTAAGATTGTGTTAAAACATTCTATCGACACCCAATTATGTCCAGATTTTTATTAAAATGTCTGAATGTAATTTCCTAAATTATGACACTTTAAAATTATTATCTGCTTCCTAAGGCACACGAGCAAATAGAAAAGACTGCTCCAAAACATTTTACAAATTAAGACAAAAGGAGAATTCAGGCTTGTAACTTAATGAAAGCTGCTTTAAGACAGACATAATAGAAACCATTTTAACAGATTACCTTAAGGTGTTAAATAAAGCATTGCTGGCAGGCAGTATAGCGGAACAGAAACAAAACGTAGCAATACTTAGCTGAACAGGGAAGAATATTTATAATCATGAATCAAAACCAAGGTAATGCCAGCAGATAGAGGAACAAACTAGAGCTCTGCCCAATCTAAATACCAGTCAGGCAG